AAATAAAAATATAAATATAAAATGTTTAAAGAACTACTTATAATTTATAAACTTATTTTTATTTAAATTTTATATTTATAACTCAAAAAGTACAGCATCAATACAATTTTTTTTACAATAACTTCCACAATGATTCATATGTCTTATCACACTTTTGGTTTCTTTTACGACTTGCTGTATCATCAGCTAAATGTCGACCATTCAATAACCAAGATCGAACGTATTTTTCTGGTTCGAATTTCGTTAGAGGTGGTCCAACACAATTAATAAATAAAAGAGCAGCAACAGTTTTTATATTTAATGAAGTTCTTAGTGGTGACATGATTTCGTTCATAGAACTAAAATTTCGTTCACATTCGCTAGTCGATACTGGAATCGTTGCAGTTGATTTATAAAGGGGTTTTAAATCTTCTGGAATTTCCTTTTTGCCCAAGTCCATTTTATAAATTCTAAAACTTTGAATAGTGCTCTTTTCATCAATTTGAAATTGTTGACATAAATTACGAATATTACAGTCACCAAATTGTATGTTTTCTATTTGGCCATCATTCGAAAGAGGCCAATTTTTTGGATTCAATTTTTCAATATTATCAAGTAAGTTTTTAAACGTTTTTTCATTTTCTTGGCGATGTTTTTCATTACGACTGACATTTGATGAACTGGAAGTCATCATTCGAGATTTTAAATTATTAGCTAGACTTTTGTAAAATTGTGCAGAATTTATTTTAGGAACATTGCAACTGTGTAATATTACATTTTTATACGACATTTCGTTCTTTATTTCTTTTAATGCGTTAGTTAATTTTGGACCTGGATCGGTTGCCATAGAATCTAATACACGTATTGTTGTTCTTATAGATTTATCAGCGTCTACTAATGTAATACTACGTTTTTGTAAATATTCTGATAAATATCCTAATTCGTCTAAAGCATCAGACATGGTATTTAAATTACTAACAAATTCTATACTTGTTATCATTTTAAACAATCCACAGTATTTACTTCTTTCTTTAGAGTTTCTGGTAGAGTCCATTGACGCCAAGTTGAAATGTTCATACAAAGTAGAAAAATTATTTATGACTGCATTAACTGTCCGTTTGCTTGATGCTACCCATCGAACTGACAAAATTCTACCAATTTTCAAAATTTGTACTTCTAATGAACTAGCAGCTTTATGTAACTCGTTTTGGTTTTTAGGTGACTGATGGAATATAGTATAAAGTTTATCCATAAATATTTTAAAATGGTTTATACCACAAACTTCGCTAATAACATCACCTACTGCCAGTTCCAAACGGTGATTTGAACAATGCCAAATAATTAATTTAGGAAATTGAATTTTAAGTCGCGTGGCTACTCCCGAATCTTTTCCGATCATAACAGAAGCTCCGTCACATGCAAAAGCAATAAAACATTCATTTAAAAAAATTTGATCAAATCCGTGTCCACCCAAACAATCAAGTAATGATTTAGTAATAGTTTCAGCAGAGGTATTAGGGAGTTCAATTAAGTCAAGATTAAAAGTATAAGGTTCACCGGGAAAATCTTCAATAAATGCACGAACAACAACTACTAATGTTGTTAATTTACTAAGAGTAGTTGATTCGTCGATTAAAATAGATATATTTGTTTTAGTTAAAATTATATTTTGGCAAATAATTTTTTTCAACTCTGATGCAATGTGGAGTGCTATATCCGCACACGTTTTATCGGAATGTAAAATGTTTCCCATATTTATACCATTTAAAACTTGTAAATCTATTTAATTTGGTAAATCAACAAAAGGCCTTTGAGTTTTTACAATTTTATAAACAGTTCTAAAAACTTTTTCAGTAGTAGAGAACTTTGATTTCAATTCATTTTCGAAACTTTTTTCTATTTGTTTTTCTTTTGATTGTTCATGTAATTCTACTGCTCTAAGATGAGCGTCAGATTTTTTGTGTTCAAATATTTTTTTTCTCAAACTAGACATTTGACTTTCTTTTGACTTTCCATTCGAAATTATAGAACAGTCTTGCCAAGGTTTGGAAAAGCGAAGAGTTTTATCAACAACAGATAATCCTAAATTTGTTATATTTTTACAAATCAAACAACCTAATGCTTTATTTTTAACTACTAGCCACTCATTTACAGTCTTGAAATTTTCGTACTGACCTTTATTCCAACATTCGGGCAAATCACTAGTTTCGTGAAGTTCCATATTTTTATTTGATTCTTTATTAGATGATGTATGTTCACTTTCAACGCAAATTTTTTTATTTGTCGAATTATCACATTCATCATTGGACTTAGAACGTTTATTTACCCAATTTAGTATAGAAGAACTCATATTTTTCGCACGGAATAATATATGCTATAAACTAATGTAATTAATGATCAGCAAAATATAATACATGTATTACTGCAGCTTAAATGATACTAAAAGCTAATCAAAACATACGGGTATCAATATGATCACAAGATTTGCTGCCACTCAGAAAAATCAAAACTTTTACGTTTGATAAAGAATTTCCGGCTAACTTGCGGGAACGTATGTACAAAACTGCGGGCACGTGGGGATGTCAAACCGTCGTATGGTGCCGTTCCATAGTATTTCTTATCGTACGTTAAAAATACACATAGGTGCGTATCGTGTGAATATCTAGACACGCGGTAGCGTGTCAAGCCAAGTTCTAGCTAACAGAACTGGCGAGCAGCACCGCGTGTAATATTACACGAACCATTTGGAGCCACTTTTGACCCCTTCATAACTCAAAAACTATTCCACATAAACATGTCAAATTTGGCTCATATATTGAGACTTACTAGATACATATGTTTTCCAAATTTCATAAACATATCTCAAACCGTTATTTAGATATTAACGTCCCAAAATCGTAATTTTTATCACTGACTCACCTATAGATCAAAATTCTAACCCACTTCCAGATAACCTAGAAAGTTCAAATTTGGCATACAAATAGGTAGTTAGGTTAATATAAAGGAAAAAATCAGAAACTTGAAAATTTTTAAATCGCGGCTCCAAAAATACATCCAGTCGATATGTGTCGTCGTGTCGATATTGGCGACCCGCGCGCCATAATTAAATAATTAATCTTACAATTATGAATTATCCACCCATCAGTAGAAATTATAGTAAATAAAATTATGATAATTAAAAATAATATACTCAAAAGAAGATAAAATAATTTTATATTAACTTTACATATATTATAGTATTATACTCTGTATACAACAGAAAATATTTTATAATAAATACCTATTATTAATGTTAGTAACTGAATTATAGTATATAGTAATAAACTGTATTTATAGAATACGTCATGGTAAACTATTTTTATCGACGATCGAAACGAAGTCGTTTCGGGGGAAAAATTATCAGTACTAAGAATAAACAAAAAGAAAAAAACCAAATAAAATTGTTAGATAATCATATAATAATATATATAAATATTATTTATATTCCAAAACATAGATAATATTCTCATCATCGGTCAAAATAATGAATCGTCAAAATGAACACAATATTTGCCGCGGTGTAGCGGGGAGGGGAGCGGTGCGATAAACCTTGACGGGAACGTGCGAGCGCTGAGCGGGCGGTAACCTCGATCATTTGTATGAGCGCCGTCTTGTTGCTGGTTGTCGATTCCTGACGTATATTATTATTACATATTATATTTTTGTGTATTGTACAATGAGTCGTTCAATAGAATTACTGGTGGGTGACACATTTACCTTGCATCGAATTATTCCAATGCCTCCCGATGGAAGCTGCCTATTCCATTCGTTTGCATTTTATTTATTTGATTATAGTAATATACAACAAACCAATAGGCTGCGTGAGACTATAGTAGATTATGTATGTCGTAACTGGGAAAATTTAAGTGTCTACACTAGTGCTCAAAACGGGGATCCTTACTGCTCTGTAGAAGAGTACCGAGCAAGCATGCTTAGTTCGACAACTTATGGAGCTACTTCTGAATTAAAGGCTGCAGTAGATTTGTATAATATTAAGATCGAAGTGTATCATCAGGATGGTGTTCTGCTTGGTTTGTTCGGTGAAGAGAGATATCCTACAAAGCGCTTGCTCTTTACAGGAAACCTCTCTTCGGGCCATTATGATGTTTGTATTCCAGTGGAACATGACATCAACGATGCGTCTATTTCTCCCGATACACTTCAAGAGAACGAGTCCTTGAAACAAAACAAAAATTCGTGTCAAAGGGTCGTCCACTAAAGCGTAAACGAGGTCGACTTAAAACGTCTGAGAAATCCCGTGAGGAACAACGGCGTGATGCTAATCTACGTTATAAACAAGCGCATCCTGAAGTAGTTCAAAATGCTCAAAAACGTTATGCAGCCAAACACCCCGAGGTGAATCTGGCAGCCGTAAAACGTTATACGGATAAACACCCCGAGGTGCATCAGGCAGCCGTAAAACGTTATACTAAAAAAAATCCAGTTATAGATCAAATATCGTCAAAGTTGTACTACACAAAGAAAAAATTATCGTATACTAATGAAAATGATATAATTAACAAACTAATAGATAAAATTGGAAAGCAGAAAAGGTTAGAAGCTGAAAGAATTGTAAAATGGGTTCTTGAGCGTCGTAAACATATACTAAATAATTACTGTAAAGTTTTCGACCGCGTTAACAGTAAAATTACAATGAGTATGGAAAAAATGAAAAGTATTTCATCTGACAAAGATATGCTAGAAAAATTTATTATTCTTGCCGGAGAATCTAAACATGTGAGCTCTCAAGAACCATACTGTTATGAAAGTTCGTACAAAATGTTCTGTTCGGATGAAACTGTACCAATAAACGACGAGGGTCAAGCTGAGGTATTTAATTTACAGAATGAAAATAATAACGTATCTTGGTCTTGTAATCCCAAACAATGTTTATTAGATGAATCAATTCTACAAAATTTATTGGATGTTTTTTAAATATTTGAAGTCAAAGTCAGCCATAGATGTATTCAATTTAATATCTAATCAGTGTCCAGAATTTTTTAAACAAAATTAAAATACTTTATAACATTAAAACCCATTTCCCTAAAATACGAACTATTGTCAGAGAACTCTATCAGTTAAAATGTTATTGCAAAAATATAAATTTAATAGATTGTGATTTGAACTCTGTTAATGTAAATAAATTATATGAATTAGGAGTACCTTTTAATATCAAAAATGCTCATTGTGAAGTAAATATGCACGAGCGCGAAATGAACGAAGACTTAATAATAGAAAAATATAAAGGCGCTTATAATAGCTTTAAAAAAAGATGCGATGATTTACCGATACACCATTGCATATCTTGCCACAGACTTAATTGTTTAAGTGACCTGTCCGCTATTAATAAACTAAGAAATCCTATCCACACTGACATATGGCAAAGGTTACAACTTTTCAATGAAACATTTCATATTGAGCCCAGCCCGTTTATCTGTCATTAAATGTTTAAAAAAAATCCGAGCTAATGATTTACCTTCTAATTCTATACTTAATAGTTTATATTACAGCGACGTACCTAAGCAATTAAGTGATCTTAATAACTATGAAAAAATGTTGATACAAAGAGCTAAAGCTTTTCAAGTAGTAACTAACTTGATTCCAGTGGGAAATAAAAATATACCTAATAGACAGATGATAAAAAAAGTTAAAGGTAGGACATTTCATTTGCCATTACCTACAGAATCTACTTTAAATAAATTGCCAAAACCCGAGGAACCTTTAAACCCCAATCAAGAGCTCTTTATACTCGTGCGAAGCTGCTCGACTAAAACTAAAATAATGTGGCAAGACTTAGTAGATATCGGCAATATATACAGGGCATTACTATATTTAAAACAGAATAACTTTCATTACACAAACATCATTTTACCGGAGAATTCAGATAATTTATTAGACAACATTGGCCAAATTTTAAACCATAGAGTCGAGCCAAATGATAACGAAAAGGAGTTACAAAATCAGTCTGCCTTTCTAACTCAGGTAACCGAAGATAATGAAGATATTTACGAACAATATACTATATACCCATTACATGAAAAGAAACAAAATAGTACAGCTTGCGCTCTATATCAAATGTTGAAAGTGAATGCTGCACCAATTGATAATCGCAATAAGGATATAGATACTTTATGCTTTCCAGATTTATTTAATGAGGGCAAGTATGGTCAGTTTTATGGTCGCGAAAAAAAAATTACAAGTGCAGAATTCATAAAATCTCGCTTAACTTCAAAAAACTCGAGATTCAGACTTAACCAGCAATACTTATTTTACTTGTTGAATGACGCAAATATTAGACAATTAAATGCAGGTATATTTTATAAATTAAACGTAACTAATTTAAACCAAAAATTAACAGCGCAACAGTATTTAGAGAAGATAGAGAAAAGCGAGCTCGAAGGAGATTTAATGGCAATGTTCAGTAGATTACGGAACACCGAGCAATTCTGGAAAAAACCTAGAAGCGATGTTATGTGTATGACTCGTCATTACGGACCGGCTACTTGGTTTTTAACAATCAGTCCTTCTGAATGGAGATGGACGGACCTCGCGGATTATATTAAACTAATCAATGGTCCAGATGCAAGGAATAAATCTACTAGTGAGTTAGTAGCAATGGACCCAGTTTCAGCGTCGCGGTTTATCGACATACGATTTAAATCAATATTGGATTTTTTAACATCACCTGAGGCTCCTTTAGGTGAAATAGAACATTATTTCTGGCGTCGTGAATACCAGTCAAGGGGTTTACAGCATTTCCATCTGATGTTATGGGTAAAAGATGCACCGATACTGCAAGTTTCAACTGTTGAGGAAGTGGCAGAGTTTATTAATAAATACGTTACATGTTCTGTCCCGGATAAAAAAGTATCCCCAGTATTACACCATCGTATTGTAAATTATCAGATGCATAAACATAACTCATACTGTATACGAAAGAAAAAAACAAAAACAAGCTTTACAACGGTTTGCAGATTTGGATTTCCACGACCATTAACCGAATCTGTAACGATTAATAGTGTAACCGAATCAATAGCGGCTAGGAAAACTTTGAAAACTAGTAGACTTTATAATATACCTCGCAAAGAAGAATTTCGTTATATTAACGACTACAATCCAGCAGTTCTTCTCGCTTGGAATGGCAACATGGATATACAGTATGTAGGCAAAAAGACAGCTGTACTAAATTATTATATTACCAAATATACAACTAAAAGTGAAAAAAGTCACGCAGTAGACACTTTTGACAACATAAATTCTACCAAATCTCTTGCTAGTAGGCTTTTTAACGTAGGTCTCCGAGCGCTTAAT